ACAGTGGTGAAGTAGTAGCTGCTACAAAACTGGATTTTGACTTAATTTGGTCAGTGGAGGAAGAAACTGGCAGTTCTGTTTTAATATCATTGTTTACGAAATGAAGGAAAGAAGCATCAAATGTTACTGCTCTTTGTTTATGATTTGATTATTTGTACATACAAACATACATACATACATAGAGGGAGGGAGGGAGGGACACACACTCTCAGGCAGGAAAACTGAGGATGCCAAACTCTGAGCAGAGATCCTGGGAAAGGTGTCCGAATAACAGAATAACACTTAGATGGGACCTTGGGGTGAACCCTATACCATTTCAGAGGAATGGCTGTCCAGTCTTTTCTTAAAAACCTCCAGTGTTGGAGCATCCACAACTTCTGGAGACAGGCAGTTCCACTGGTTAATTGTTCTCACTGTCAGGAAGTTTCTCCTAAGTTTTAGGTTGCTTCTCTCTTTGTTCACCTTCCATCCATTGCTTCTTGTTTGCCTTCTGGTACAGCCCCTTAGAAGCCTGTTGACTATCACACTCATGCGCAAAGCACGTGAGCCATTTCCTCCTTCCAGTGGTGCATGAAAGTACATGTATAGTATGTAGATAATAAAGTCAAAAAAAATGGTGAACAACGTTTTTACAGAACTATAAGGTTGAGGGTGGCAAGGAATGCCTGGGAGGGGAGGGGCCAGGCAAGGCAGCCCTTGACATGAGTGACATTGTTGGCCACTCCCACCCAGTCACATGACCACCAAGCACGCCCACCCAGCCACATGATCACCAAGCCACGCCCACTAAATAAACCATGCCCACAGAACCAGTAGTAAAAAAAATTTGAATCCCACCTCTCTCTCTCTCTGTCACACACACATACACACAAACAAACCTTCAGAAAAACCTAAACGGGGTGACTATTTGAGAATCTTCCTAACCCCACAAGATTCTCTTAAATTCAGTGAAATTTTATTTTAAGAAGTTCTACCTTATCCACCGTAGCCTATTGTTTTCACGGACATTTGCCTTCCCATTTTGAATGTTGTTTGATGTTGTCTTCTGCGTGGTTTTGGCTGTACGGAGTAATTCAGAGGAAAAAAGGGGTGATCCACAAGACATTGAGGGGGCATTCCACTGTCTCCCATCTGGTAAGGGAGAACATTATATATATGAGCATCCAGGAATCTGGACTGGTGAGCTCCATTCCACGCCAAGCACGCAGTACAGAATTTCAATCTACATGAATAATTTGGCAAAATATTACACACCAATTGCAAGGGAAAATGTGAAACTAAACTGCCAGGAATTATAGCCAAGTGATTAGGAGGATGGTTTCTCAAATTCTTTTCCTCGGAACAACAGCCCTCAGAGGACAAATTAATTCAATGGACAATGGCAAGCATCCAGAAACGAGCATCGCACGTTTTCACACAGCCAGCAGGACTTCTTCTGACTTAACAGTCAAATACTTCAAGCAGAATCCGTCTCTTCCCTTCCTCATCCACGAAGAACAAAGGTCTTCAACCTTGGCAAGTTTAAGACTCATGGGCTTCAATTCCCAGAATCCCTGAGCTAACATGACCAGAGGAGGAATTCTGGGCATTGAAGTCCACAAGTCTTATAGCTGTCAAGTTTGAAGACCCCTGACGTAGAATGTCACATTACTTTGAAAAAAACAACAACAACCTGTTTGCAGTCTCTCATTTCTTTCTGGGTTCAACAACTTTCAGATTACTATCCTTTCTACAACATCTGTTTGGATAATTTCCCAAGTTATCATCTTTCCGATATTTTGAGTCTTTTTCCTCTTTCTAATTAAGACTTGGTGATGCAGCGTATGCCTACAAGATTCTTCTGTTGCTAGTCCTTTTTGCAGTATTGTAGATGAGGGCTCTTTTTTTTTTTAACACCACTGTAGTTGGTCTCCAACTGAATAGATATTAAACATACCACAATCCTCACTTTCATAGGTCTGGTCCCTCAAGTGCACGGATCTCCACACTTGGCAAGTTTAAGACTACCTCCCAAATCCACAATCACCCCAAATCTCGTTGGGGAATTGGGAAAGGCTAGAGATATCTCTGCACAGCCTGGTCGTTATAGACCACCAATGAACAACGAAGAGATGCAGCTGGATTAAATGGCAGATCCGGGTAGGGGGATAGCAAACTTCAATTATTTTATTTGTTTTGTCAAAGACTACCTAGATCAGTCTATGATAATTAACACGGGAAAGTATGAGGAAACGGTTCAGGTAGAGGACTTATCTTGACTACCTTATATTATTGTTTGAATGTACTCCACGAATTAAAAGTTTATTTTATAAACTTTATAAAAAGGGCAGGTGCTTTGTTCCTCAACCATATGGTTGTTCATGAAAGGATTGTAGGTATAGGAAATCATTTAAGCGTAAGAGAAGAAGGGGCAGAAGCTGGGAGCGGGTGGCGTTTAAGAGTGATCAGCCTAGAATCCCAGTGTCATGCCCATTGGAATCTGACTCAGAGGGGGAAGCCAAACAGCTGACAGGGAGTGGGAGTGTGGCTCTGTTGGCTGTGGAAGAAACTGGGGAAGGGCAAAGTCCGGCTGGGCAGAGCAGGGGAGAGGGAGAGCAAGGGAGAGGGAGTTCAGAAGATGACTCAGGGCCACCTCTTCTTCATCTTAGGGCACGCAGGGGAGGAACGGAGAAGAGAGCAACATGGGTTGCATGGCTTACGGGGGAGGAAAGGGCCCTGATTCCCTTAATTAGCTGCAGCTGGAAACAGTGTAAAAAGGGAATTTGCACACAGCAAGATGTTGGGGGCAAACGTGAATTTATCTTGTATCGTGGTGGCTTATCTGTTTCTGGTGTCTTCCCAACTGTGTGAGTTTTGTCGTGCTTTCAAGTCTGGAATTCCTTTTCCTGCCCTGTCAAGCTAATTACTTCAGTTTGGCTTGTTTGGATTTTTAGTTATAGTTTTGTGTGTATACCTTGTTTTGGATTGAACTTTCTACATTCAAAGGCTGTTCCTGGGAGAGTTTTTCTCCAGCCAGAAGGTAACCTGGACATCAGGAGCAAAATTGGAGATAATAAAGGGACCCTTATTGCTTATTTGACTGTGTTGCCTCTGTGCCATGCTCCAGGTCTTCACACCCTGCGTAGCTCCAAGTGAACTTAGTCCAGCCTTCCTTGAATTCCACTGACCCTTCTCTAACCCCAAGCAGATGCATACCCTTACTAGAGAAGATTCCTGTCCAAAGGCGTGAGTAGAAATAAATCAGTTTAATTGGCGCTTCATGTGTGGACCTGATCTTTCCCACATGACATGAACAGATTTATAGCCAACAGATTCATGATGAATGTTTGGGATTTTTATTTTAGATAACAGGAAGAATTAAATTCCGGTATGAGTTGCAAATGAAAACTCCTTTAAAGAAGCCGTCTTCAGTACAATAAATAAAGCGTGTTAAATTCTCCCATTTGATCTTAAGATATAACATACTTTTACAAAATAGCTATTCAGTCCCCTGTATCTTCCATGTCCTGGAGAAAAATAAATGAATGAATAAATAAGTAATACACATTTGGATTTGAAGCTGTATTTGAAGGTTTTTCTGACATTAGATCTCCAAGAATGTATTGTACAGGATAACCTACACAAACTATCACTGCAAGTCCATGTAGGCAGTGTATTTTAGGGATCCTATCAAGAGTTGCAATTAAATACTATTTAATATACACAATTCCTGTCACTGAAAGCCTGCAAAAATAGTATTTTAAGGGGTCCTATCGACGATCTGTAATCAAATCCGATTTAATCTCAATAGGATTTAACTTTTTTTAAAAAAAATGATTCGAATATTATGCTTGACCCAAACGAGAGAGGAAGGCGATTCTCCTTCCATCTTTAAAGCCCTCCGAACGGCTTTAATTCGATGAACCCAAAAGGACACACAACCTGGCTGAAAGTAACATGCAAAAAATCAATTACTCATCTTTCCCGTGAGTCACGTCTAAATATCCAGTCTTGGCTGACAGCTGTAAGTAGCTAAATCAGAATAATCTAGCAATTGATTCAGCTTTTAGGGAGGCTTAGAGGAATCCCAGGAGAAAAGGGGAAAACAGCTCATCGCCGTTGAAAGCCTAACTACCCCAAGACTGGTATGACTTCTGTCGTTCAGGAATATGAGCTTGAATACGGCCAATTGATATAGAGGATCTTGGACCACGACCCCTGGAGAAACCCGCCGAAGCAGCACATTCAGCTTCTCAAAACCAGCTGGGGTTGAGAGAAAGAGGGAAGGGGAGAGGGGGGGGGGTGTTGCTGCAGGCAAATGTTTTGGCTCCTGCATAAGACAGGCTTCAACAGATCCTGGAGAAAGCAGGTGCCTGGACACACGTCGTTTCCTGGCAGAGTTGGGAGAAAGTGTGAGGACAAGGATTACCGTATTTTTCAGATTATAAAACGCTCTGGATTATAAGATGCACCTAGCTTTTGCGGAGGAAAACAAGAAGAAAAAAAAAATCTGCATGTGCCTCCCAGCAACTTGCCTCCCTTGCAGCAAACAGCAAAAACCCCGGTCAGCTTCAGCGCATCCGGATTAGCATAAGCAGCTGATTGTCGGTTGGATCGGCCTTCCGACAATTGGCTGTTTGAGGCTGCAGGGAGTGCCATCGCCTATTGCCACCTCCGTGGGCCCCATTTTTGGCCTCCGCATCCCGTTCCCGACCTCCGTGGGCCCCGTTTTTGGACTGTTTCAGGCAGCAGGGATCAGAACGGGTTGAAAATGGGGCACACAGAGGACGAAAATGAGATGTGCGAAGGCGGCAATAGGTGATGGCGATCCCTGCAGCCTGAAACAGCTGATTGTCGGGAGGCCAATCCAACCGACAATCAGCTGCTTGTGCCAAATCCGGCTGTGCTGAAGCTGACCAGGCTTTTTGCTGTTTGCCGCAAGGGAGGCAAATTGTTGGGAGCAGAGGCCAAAGGGTGGGGGGTCAGCGGGGCTTCGGCAACATTCACGGTATATGACAGACATTTCCACCCACTTTTCGGGGGCAAAAAAGTACATCTTATAGACCGAAAGATACGGTAAATTGCATTTTAGTCAATTGCATTTAGAAAATGAAGAATAGGTCATGAGGTATTTCCCTCTCTCCCCTCCCCTCCCCGTCTTTTTGGTGCTAATTTCATTTCCCAAAAATAAAACAGGTTTTGCTGACTTTTAAGCTTGCAAAAAACAACCACCCCCCTCTAAACCTCGATACTTGATCTTATCTGTGTGTCTCGTGTTTTTGTGTGTGCGGGCACATGCGCCTTTATCACATCATTTACGGTTTTCTATACCTCTATACCCTAAAATGAACAGCTCAGTTCACCAGACATAATCCAGAAGGCATTAGAGGGAAGCTTTGCTACCATTTTTCACGATCGTTCAATTTGGAAAAATTAAATATTGTTCAATGCTTTTCTTCAAGTATTGCAGACAAAATTATACGGTGAAAGATTCGTTGACTGAATGACAGATTATAATTTACTGGGGGAAAAAAAATTCCTTTCCACCTTTTTATGGCACAAAGGTACCAGAGGTCTAAAGTTAATCCGTTTCCTCCTTTCGTCCTGCACTTAATACAGCATGCATTAAAGAAAAAAAGATTTTGATTTTTGATTTGCACTACATCCAGCTATCTCGGCTTAAAATACAACAGCAACCAGCTGTGAAAAGGTGGTGCACAACAGCCTTTGGCGAGGTTACTAGGGAAGAGCTGCATATTCAATGCTTTGCAAAACCATCATTGTTAAACTGTTAATTGGGTGAAAGGAATTGCGTGGCCTTATTATTATCAGCATCCATTGAAAAGTCCGGTGACTTTGGAGGCTTACGAAGAGCCAGTGGCGAAGAGGAAAATCTGAAGAAGAGGCATAACTTTCAGAGTCGACAAATCAGCAAGGACAGCCTGGAAAGAAAAGGAGAAACGATAATATTTCATAAAAGTGAAGGTCAGCGAGTAACTTACTACTTCATAAATGCACATAGTCATTTTTCTGCTTTGACGGAAAACCGTCTGTGGAGATTCTCAAGTTGTCCAGGTCATGGTTGTGCCAAAGGTGCTTTTTTTCAAAAGCCCACTGGACTTTCTGGTTTCTCTTTGATGACGTTTCACTTCTTAGACAAGAAGCTTCTTCAGTTCTGACTGAATGAGGGAGGATGGAAGGATTTATACTCCTTGTCGCCATCTGGTCGTTAGCACTCTTTCTGAGAGTCGTTGAGGCCACTTGGAAATTCATCTGTGCCTTCGGAGTCACCTGAGTACCCACACCCACTGCACTATTCAGGTGACCCTGAGGGTGCAGATAAACCTCCAAGTGGCCTCAACGACTCTCAGATTACCAGATGATTCAGTGATGGGATTCAAAAAAATGTACTGCTGGTTTGTGAGCGTGGCTTGGTGGGTGTGGCTTGGTGGGCGTGGCACGGGAAGGATACTGCAAAATCTCCATTCCTTCCCCACCCCACTAACCTGCTTTCCAGCTCCGTTCTCCTGGGCAGGGCAACAAAAGAAGACCCAGCCAATCAGCTGGGACTCAGAAGGCGGAGAATAGATGGGGGCGGGGCCAATCAGAGGAGGGATTTGCTGGTTCTCTGAACTACTCAATATTTCCGCTACCGGTTCTCCAGGACTGGTCAGAACTTGCTGAATACCACCTCTGACTGCAAGGAATATAAATCCTTTCATTCTCCACTATTCAGTTAGAACTGAAGAAGCTTCTTGGATGAGAAAAGCGAAAAAAACAGAAGTCCAGTTGACTTTTGAAAAAAGCAACTTTGGGTCTACTGAAAAGCCTTTCACTTTAATCAAGCTGATTGAAAAAGTGGCCGAACACAGACACTGTGAACAAGTAACCTGTTTTTTAAATTTTATTTTGGGATTTAGACCTCGTTCTAATATGTGTGGCCTCACTGGTGCTGAAGGGAGTCTAAAATTTCACCTTGTACTTAAAAATAATTGTGTGTTAAGAATCCTTATCCGGCTTGGGTTAAATTATAACTCTTATAAATCTGTGATTTTAATTAGGCTTCATCCTCATGCCCTTTCATTTTCAAAGTAGCTATTTAATTACTTTAAAAAAACATCTTACTTGAAAATAACACATGGCTTGATGCTACCAACTTAAGAAAATGCTGTTGGAAGTATTACTAGTTCGGACAGAAAGGCAGTGCACAGAGTGATGGGGATGGCAAAAAGGATTATTGGAAGTTCACTTCCTTCTATCTGGGGCAGGGGTCTTCAAACTTGGCAAGCTTAAAACTTGTGGTCTTCAACTCCCCGAATTCCTCCTCCGGTCATGTTAGCTCAGGAATTCTGGGAGTTGAAGTCCACAAGTCTTAAGCTTGCCAAGTTTGAAGACCTTTGTAAGAGAAGATAAAGTCATGGGGTTGTCCGGTTAGATAGACCATTGAGTTTAAACATTAATGTCAGTTTGCATCTAGTTGCTTTCTGGATTTCACCTCTGCCTCTTGTTAAAATGTTTAAAGCAGGGTTGTCCAATCTTGGCCCCTTTTAAGATTTGAGAGCTTATTTGCAAGTTGAAATCCACAAATCCGTACGGCTGGCTGAGGAATTCTGAGAACTGAAGTCCACAAGTTTTAAATTGGCTCAGGCTGGACTCAAGCAGGGGGCCTTCAAACTTGACAGCTTTAAGGCTTGTGGGCTTCAACTCCCAGAATTCCTCCTCCAGTCATGTTAGCTCAGAAATTCTGGGAGATGAAGTCCACAAGTCTTAAACTTGCCAAGTTTGAAGACCCTTGATCCAGGACATGGCATATAAGTGTATCCTGACAATTTATATTGACTCTTTCCTAATATGATTTGATTGCTTATTGTACTCTATGACTATTATTAAGTGCTGTACCTTAGGATTCTTGACTTTTGATGAATGTATTTTCTTTTATGTACACTGAGAGAGAGCACTTGCACCAAGACAAATTCCTTTTGTGTCCAATCACACTTGGCCAATAAAGAATTCAGTTCAGTTCAATATTTATCCAATGTGAGTAAATGTTGATTACGTTTTCAATGGAAAGATATAATTGCTTAGGGCTACCCGAAGGCGCTTCTTAGATGAGAAACAAAATGTTTGCAATAAAAAAAGAAAATCCCTAAAGCCCAACTGCCTTTTAGACAAAGCTTTTGGAACAACCATGACCTGGATGACTGAAAATCTCCATAGACATCAGGTCTCTTTCAAATTCCAGAAAAGTTGGTTAAGACAGAAGCAAACTATATTATCTACTCAACGGTAAATGTGTTTAACAGCTGTCAAATTCAAACGTCATGGTCTGTTATCATTTCTCAGTGGGAAAAGTTGGATTTAACACTCTGGCATGTGTTCAGGGGTAGCTATCAAAGCCATGAAATACTCCAAGTTGAAAGGAATATTCTCTGGGTAATGACGGGATGCGAGACTGAAAGACATATTAATCTGCCATCTCTACTGAGATATGGGCTGCCTGCTTCCATTTTGCTGGTAGAAATGAACGTTCATCTCCAAAATGGCAAAAAAAAGGCCATCCATTTCATAGCTGTCTAAAGAATCAAGTCTTTCCTTTCATCTGAGTTAAGTAACGATGATCATTTTGGGGGAATTAAATGCAAGCAGATACTTTGGAAATCTCCTTTTCCCCCCAAGGTTTTTTGTCCAACAATCGAAGCACAGGTTTTATATTTGAGCAATTTGATATTTTGCTTGAGAGAGAATAAAAAAAAAATCACTGGTGAAAACTATGATGTTTAAAGTTTTGACTCAAAAAATTCCAGATAAGTGGCTCGTATTATTTTACACTGGTATTAGAAGAAAAATGATTCTGTTGTTCCGGTGGAAATTTGAGAATGAAATAAATATTCTAATCCAATACTGCCATCAAATTCATACGGATTGTAAAAAAAATCAAGCACTATATGAGAACCTAGATTGATATCCGCGGTTTTAGCAAAAAACACAGAGGCATGAGAGTTCTTCTGGAACGCTGCTTTAACATGAGAATCAAGATGTGGTTAACAGCTGGCACTGAATAAAACCTGGAAGTAGCTTTATACTCATATTAGCTTCGACCAGTTGTTAGTAATTAAATAAGATGGTACAGTAGGCTGAATAAGATTCAGTGATCTATAAATATTTGCTCTAATCTTATTGATGTAAAACTCCCCTGAACTATCCCGTTTCCCCCAAAATAGACCTACCCTGAAAGTAAGTCCTAGCTTGATTTTTACATGTGTGCCCAATATAAGCCCTATACCCCAAAATAAGCCCTAATTAAGATCCTGCCCATTCCAGAGTGCACGGATAACAATTAAGCTGGGGTAGGGATGTCGGGGTGGAGCTGCCCTATTACTTACCTTTGGACAGTTGTAACCAGGCCTCACACAACACCTGCCTCGCTGGCCCATTTTGTCTGCAGCTGGCAAGGCTTTCCTGAAGGCCTCTGGAGCTAATAACAAAGCTCTGGATCGATCTGGAGCTCTGTTATTTTCTGCAGAGGCCTTCAGGAAAGCCGTGCTGGCCACAGAAGTTCCTGAAGGCCTCTGACAGTGAAAAGGAGGCCGAGGGTGATGCACGCAAGTGAGGTTAATCAGTGGATGACATCCCCCCAAAATAAGACCTGGTGCCTTTTTTGGTGGCAAAAAAAAAACCATGACAGGGTCTTATTTTTGGGGAAAGACGATATTAATATGGTGCTGTAAATCAATACAAAATATTCCAGTTTTGTTTGTTCTGATTTAGGTAAGACATATATTAGAGCTACATGAAGTTGCCAAGCACATATTATTTTGTAAGAATAAGAAACAGCAACATATGGTAGCATCAAATCACCGATAGCCTTCTGATTGCAGGGCATGTGATTTTTCCTGTAAAATGTTGCATTGTTCTGTGTTTCTCACAAGTGAAAAGACTTCTCAAAAGAACAGAAAATGCTATACTAGTGGTAGGTTATCGCTCACCTTGTTACAACTTTCTGTAATAAAAATAGGAAATGACATTTGACACCATCAAACCCAAAAACTATTCTGGAGGCCTGTTTGAAAAATTGTTAAGGTTCATTAAATGTTTGGCTTTGCAAAAATTAATCAACGGGGAACTGGATTTAATGTGAGAGGACATTAAACTTCATGATATACTAAAGAATGCATAATGGACTTCCGGTTTGAAGGGCTTCGGCGACAGACAGGAATCCGTGATCATGCGCGGTTTCTGCCTGGGCTCGCCGCTGGAGCGCCCCAAGCCGGCTGGTTTCAGGGCTAAGCCACCCTGTAGAGGTGGTGAAGAAGGGGGAGACTGCCGCAGGGTCGAGGAGAGCCGCATCTCTGCTCAGCTGGTCAAACTCCCTTTCCCAAAGGCGGTAGGAGCGGTGGTCAGAAATGGCCACCTCAAAGAAGCACTCAACCGGAAAAGAATGCACAGGAGGAAGATAAGAAGTGAAAGTTTTGGCTGACCAGGCTAAGTTGAAAAAGCAATAACTAAGGTACCCTGGAATTTAAATTTTACAAGAAATAACATCGCTCCCAAAGAAGAGTCGGAAGCAGCGAAAGAAAGTGAAAAGGGAAAGGTTTGGCTTTTTGTTTTCTTCCCTCTCCTTCCTTATATTGACAATTAAGAATAAGAAATTGGAAAAATCTGCTTTGGCATCAATAGGCAATTAAGCTGAAAGTATAACTAAATGCCAAAGGGACAATAAAGATTTCTGGACATTAAAAACTTTTTTTTCTATAAGCAGGAAGGGAGAGAAAAAGAATAAGGGCAGGATCTGGAAGAGGGAGGAGACTGCCTGGACTTTAAAAGAATCTAAAGTAAAATTTCAATAAGACTTCTAAAAGATACATTTTAACTGAAACTTTGCAACTAAATAGTAACCCCAGGAAGAGAAAGTGGGAAAAAAAGAAAGAGCAAAAAGAAACAGTTTGTGTGTATTTGGATTACTTGGTGACTTTTGGACTTTTGAATCAATCGGGTGGCTGTTTAAAATTTTTTACAATGGCATCACTTTTCGAAGAATTGAAAATGGAACTTAAAAAATACAAAGAAGATGCACAAGAAGGGAAGGGTTTCTTTGGCTTCGTTTTTCAATTCTTAGAAATGAAGATTTGGAACTATGAGAAACAACAAGAAAAGACTGCAAAACAAGAAGACTGGGACAAAGAGGAAGCCATCTTTAAAGAACAAGTAACTCTATGTGGGGAAGAAAAAGGAAAGGGGGGAAAGAGGATGGAGAATTTAAGACTTAAAAAAACAACCAAAGAAAAGAAAAATAATTCGAAAAATAAGTATGATACTGGAAAACAACAGAAAAGGGGAATACAGAAGAGGGAAGTAGAGGTAGAGAGACAAAGGGGTAAAAAGGGGAGGGAGAAGAAGAGAGGGAAGAAGGAAAGGAAAAGAAGTTACAAAGGTCTGGAGCAAGATATAGAGAAACAGGACCTATTTAGAGATAATGGGTGAAAACTTAACTGGAAGGGGGATTCTGTAAAGGTACATGAGATTGTGTTGTTATATTTGAAATAGAAATAACTTTAGAAAATTGGAAACAACATATGATTAGAATATAGAATGGTTAGTGTAACTTAGTGAAATGTCTGTGAATAAAGTAAATGAAATAAAATAAATGAGAAAACTGAATTAGGAAGGAATGGGAACACTTTAATTGAATGTTTTATAAAATATAAGTGAAGAGGAGGGGAATTGATTATGGAAAGTTAATAATTGTTCCCATAGAGGTATGATATTTAATTGAAAAGTAACGTGAAAAATCTTGACTTTAATGAATATTAATATTAATGATAGAACTGAATTGGAATGGAATGGTTTTTTAATTATATATATTTATAATTTTTCTTTTTTTTCTTTAAGAATACTGTGTGTAGTTTGAATGTACCAAACAGAATCCGAATGGAAGCTATGTATTATATTGAGTGTTATAACTTTAGGGAAAAGATATAAAGGCGTCATACTCCAATCAGTAACTACAGGAGAAATTTTGTTTAATGAGAAAAGATAATAGACAATTGAAACAAGATAGACAAAAAATATAAATATAATGATTTGAATTGAGATGAAATAAATATAATAAAATTGAGGAAATTAAAAGAGGGGAGAAGCTATGTAGAAAATATAAAATTTTAATAAGATATGGAATAGAAAATAAAAATGAATCTGAAATTGTGTCTGCACGAAGAAATGTAACCCGGGATTATGCTGCTTTAAAAAAAGATGTTTTAATTGTGTTTCTTTTCTTTTTGTGAAAACTCAAATAAAATTTACCAAAAAAAAAAAAAGAATGCATAACTTGCTGCTAATTATTACTGTATATAAAACGTATGCAGAACCAAATACTTTTCAAGAACCGAGAAGATCAGGATTATACACCAGATGGGAACATTAAACATGATATTCTTTTTAGTATTTATAATCACAAAATACAATTGACGCCTAGGAGTTTCCAAACGAAGCATTTCTTTATATCAACAATAAAGAGGTCATGTTCTAAAGGAGGTTCTGATTTTCAATGAAATCATTTTGGTTTACAGTATTCTTAAGTAAACAATTATGAATTCATTCCAAAGCAAAACAAATTTCCTAGGGCCACTTTAAAGAGATAAATGCTATTTATTATTTCATTTATTTGATTTCTACCATGGTTTCTTTTTTTCCCTACCAAGAAGCTACTCAAAGTAAACAATGAAAAAAATAATAGGATAGCTATCAAAACAAAATGCTGGTTACTGCACTGTGGCCAGCTGTTTTTGTTATGCTTTAACAGATAATCAGAGTTGGAAGGGACCTTGTAGGTCATCTAGTCCAACCCCCTGCCCAAGCAGGAGATCCTACACCATTTCTGACAAATGACAGTCCAGTCTCTTCTTGAAAGCCTCCAGTGATGAAGCTCCTACAACTTCTGAAGGCAACTTCTGTTCCATCAATTGACTGTTCTCACTGTCAGAAACTTTCTCCTTATTTCTAGGTTGAATCTCTCCTTGTTCAGTTTCTACCCATTATTCCTTGTCTGGCCTACAAGCGCTTTAGAAAATAGCTCGACTCCTTTCTCCTCTCTGTGGCAGCCCCTCAAATATTGGAACACTGCTATTCTGTCTCCCCTGGTCCTTCTCTTCACTAGACTAGCCAGGCCCAGTTCCTGCAACCGTTCATATCTTTTAGCCTCCAGTCCCCTAATCATCCTGGTTGCTCTTCTCTGCACTCTTTCTAGAGTCTCAGCATCTTTTTTATACTGTGGTGAACAAAACTGGATGCAGTACTCTAGGTGTGCTTTTACTAAGGCTTTATAGAGTGGTATTAGAACCTCACTTGATCTTGATTGTATCCCTCTGTTAATGCAACTTAGGATTGCTTTGGCTTTTTTGGTGGCTGCTGCACACTGCTGGCTCCTATTTAACTGGTTGTCCACGAAGACTCCAAGATCCCTCTCACAGTTTTGGTTAAAGGCTTCTCAAACTGACCAGTCCCTGTTACAAATGGGTAATTTGTCCGAGTTTCTGAATAGTTATGTAAGAAGATGAAAAAGAAAGGCTGGAGGGAAAGGGGGGAAATTCATGTTAAGGATGGATGTGGAAGAAATATAAAATAAATGTAACTCATAACAAAGTCACAGTTCCAAGCATAACTTAGCTGGGAAGAAAACTCATTGAATCCTCGAATGCTTTATATGGAATGTGATAGGCACAAGAGAGAACAAAATATTCCTGAAAATAAAAATAGCTACAGTAAGCTTATTTGTGGCAACTCTCTTTTAGCTATGTTTGATTATTCTCTGCAGGACTCTGCAGATTTTATTAAAGGAGACAGCAAGCAGGTTGAAAAATCCAAGTAGAACTGGGAGGTTAAAAAAAAAATACATCGAAGGTTTACAACCCAAATTAATTATTTTTTTTTCTTTCAACAGTTGAGAAGAGTCTTTTTTTTTTTTTTTTAATGAATTGCAACCTGCATTTTTCACATCTCCTGAACTTCTTCCAGGGTAAAAAATTTCAGCTGAGAGCCTGACACCGCAAAGCTATGTGCCCATGAAGCTCAAATTACTCCGGTTGGCAAGACGTCAAAAAAAATTATTTCCATAGTTCTACAACTGGAAACTTATCCTTACTTCAGCTGCGGCTAGTGATGTCACCTCCATTAGATTCCCTGCTCGGAAAGCAAACACAGCAGCTGCCAGCACTGAAAAATAAATAAATAAAAGAATGTGCAGCATTTAGACTGGCGGCCATACTAATTAGTTGTTAACGATACTTTTGGTCTAGTTATTCTTGAGTCCCCTTCAATGGTCTTCTGGCTTGGTAAGGGATTGCCAATTTGTGAGGGCCGGACAAAAGCCATGGGAAAGTATTGAAAGAGAGATTCAACATTCACCGGGGACGTATAATCCGAGTTTTCTCTAACAGTATTTGGCTTAGGAAGTTCTACCCATGCATTTGCCTACTTGTTTAATTTGGGAAAGTCCACTCCCGTGGATTGCTTTGATGCCTGTTATCCCACTGCTCCTATTTTGAGGCAAGAGAGAACGAGGGAAAGGGGGGGGGTGTAGCAGCTGCAGCCCCCCCCCCCCTTCAATGTAAAAAGGAACTTGCAACGGAAGGATTGATTGGCTCACAATTAATGTTAGGTATGATTTACCCATAGTACCATCCACAGGCCTGAGGAGCGAGTGCTTAGCCTTCCTACTGAAGAACAGGGGAAATGAAAAAGAAATACGAATAAATTCCCAAATGGATTTGGGTCCTGTCTCTCTAAATGGATAATAAAACAAATGCAGTGGTAAAGCAATAACGCTCATCTCAATTGTTTATGCGGAGTATTTATCCATCTATTTATCTATCAATCTACACATACACACACACACACACACTCAACAAGTTAGCAAAAATGAACCAGTGAAGGAAGAGAGGGAGGAAGGAAAAAAGGGGAGGGAGGAAGGAAGGAAGGAAAGGAGGAGGAAAAAGAGAGAGGGAGGGAGGAAGAAAAAGGGTGGGAGTGAGAAAGGAAGGAAAGAAGGAAGGAAAAGAGGGAGGGAAGGAGGAAGGGAGGAAGGAAAAAGGGTGGGAGAGAGGAAGGAAGGAAGGAAGGAAGGAAGGAAGGAAGGAAGGAAGGAAGGAAGGAAGGAAGGAAGGAAGGAAGGAAAAAGAGGGAGGGAAGGAGGAAGAGAGGAAG